GGATTTGGGGTTTAGGATGTAGGATTTAGGGTTTAGGGTTTAGGATCTAGGGTTTAGGATGTAGGATTTAGGGTTTGGGCTCTACGGTTTAGGTTGTAGTTAGGGTTTAGGGTTTCGAGGCTTAGGGTTGGCTTGCAGACCCTGAACCCCAACCCTCAAGGCCGAACCCCAAACTCTATGAGCCTTGATGTGGTTTAGAGTCTAGGGTGTAGGGCTTAGGGTTCTGGGCCTGCCGACAGGGTGGAGAAAGTCGTGAGATGTCTCGAGGCGCGCGAGCCATGTCCCTTTGTGTTGCTAAAACTCACTCCTAAATTCTGAGAACAACTGATCAGAGGGGATGACGGAGTTTGTATCAATTGTAGAAGTTCAGCATGCGCGGAGTTGCTAACACTTCATGTCGCGCAAAACGGTGACCCCATCTATGAGGTCTTCGAAAAGAGAGGTCACAGCTATTGGGGCTTTTGATATGGCCGAGTAGCGTCTGTGCATCTCGGAAACTCCCTTGTTTTTTTTGTGGCTTTGCAGCTTTGGGTCTAGAGTGGCCGGTAAACGGTGCAAACGTGACCTTGACAAATGCCTTGCTAAGACAGTGGTGGTTTGGGGTATTAGGAGATTCATCCCATGTTCGCCCGAGCAGCGTTTTTTAAAAACGCCAATTTTGCTTGAACAGCTTGGTCCTACAGATGTCCTGAAGGCAGCTTGTCATCGCCGCTTCTCATAAGCACCAACCAAATCCCCGACTGTATGTGGGGGGTCGTTTTGGATTTGTTATACAGGCCAGAATCTGCTGGGGTTTCAATCAACCCGTACTCCAACAGCACGTCATGACTTTGATGACCGGGCAACTTATAGAATCGTAGAGCTGTTCTTGAGCAAAGTCCTGACAGATTCGGAGTCTCCGCTTTCTCTCATCACTGTCAGACGTGCGCTCAGGCCATCTCAGGATCATGCGGGTAGGCGTTGGCAACTCCACGCCCCACACGCCATTCACGCCCCCGCAGAGCAAGCACTGAAGCCCTAAGGGAGACCTGCAAAGATCGCTGTCTTTTTACGACGGTAACGGCGCGCATATGGAGATTTCCCTGAATTCAGTACAACTTCCTCATTTTGGGGACTCAAGTCCCATGTGTCTCGACGTGAGGGTTGCCCCTTATACACCCAACAGTAGTAGGGTCCTGTTTACGGCGCCACCCCAAAAAGTAACGCATGATTTTGTGAGGTTGTTTATGTAGAAAGCGGCTCCAAAGGTTCGCAGTATTTGGTGACGGTTAGGTATCTTGGGTTCCCTTACTGACCCCCCTCTAACTAGGTTTTCCTTCAATAAGGGTTGTTTTGAGGGATAGGTAGGCCTGGTTACGGCTGATGAAGTGCGGGGGGCTTTGTGAGGGAACCCTGGAAGCAGAAGAGAATCGTGAGCAGTGCGACTGTTTTTCCGAATATCTATAAGGATCGACTCCTCCCACCCCTTGAACCCACCAGCAAAAGACAACATTTGCACATAATGAATTAATGATGTAATCTTTTTGCTTGATTTTGGTGACTGTATACAGGCCTGCTTAGGAGATAATGGTGAGTGGAAAAATAGTATTTTCCAAGGGATTTCAAGGAAGACACGGGTAGCAGTTGGGATTTAGGGTAAAAGGACATGCTGGGCCAGTCTAGGGGACCGAATTGAGAAGACTTCTGACCACCAATCTGACTCTCTGCTGCAAGTTCCGGGCTCACTTATGGCCAAACTTGCCTTCATCCTGACAAGCATGGCGCTGTTCCTGGCAAATCTTTTGATCTTCGGCATCGCCACTTCAGGCACCAAGTCTAAGCGCATGAGTTGTGTATGTAGGTCTCAGGGTCGAAGGTGCTGGAACACGTAGCTTCTGAAGAGAACGTGACCACTATTGTGTTTGCAGCTCTCTGAAGAACAACAACTTGATTCGGTCTTGAGCCCTTTGGAGTTTCATAGGCCAAGATAGCTGATGCACATGAACCTAGGTTTGTAAGTCTAAAATGATACTCGATACAGACTTAGGGCTCTAAAGTCTATTGCCACCACCGACTTGGGGCTATTTGGACCCCTAAAAGGGAGCTCTGACGGCCCACACGTTGTTTGTATCATCACCGGCTACCCAAAATGAATTTGGGGGTGGTGTCCCCAAACTTGCTGTAGCAAGGTACCTGCATGGATTGTGGTTTAACTAAGTGAGGCCTTGCTGTTCAGTAGCCGGGCCTATACAGAGAGTTGTGAGAAACCCTTTACGCAATTCCTCTACAGCTCGTCTCAAGGGACAGCCTCCTCAAGTGCCTAAGCCAGTTTAGGTCCCCAACTCCTAAACCTAAACCACTTTCTATGACTGAAATGAATTGGTTTGGGCGGTTCGGCCTCCTTGTACGGCATGGGTGGGGGGTGGTAATGCGAAGACGGCAGCCTGTCGTAATCAAGCTAGGATTACCCTTGCAACCATCAGAGCAAAGCCAACAAAGCCCAAACCTTAAACCTCAAACTCTGAGCCCCAAAGTCCCCAAACACCAAATCGTAACTTGTAAACTCTAAATCTACCCTATATACTCTAAACTAAACCCTATTCTACCCCTTCATCAAGCTGCATGTATACCCAGAGCCAAGACCCTGTCGACTGCCAGGAGCGGCATACGCCGAGAGCGAATCTTCACCATCCCTTAGGAAAGAGTTTAGGGTGTATAATCCCCCTTAGGTAGATAGAATATGGGGTACATGGGGATCTTATTATAAGATACCCAAAGCCATATTCTATCTTTTTAAGGGGACTAGGGGGGTTTGGGGTTTATCGTCTTGGGGGCTTAGGCCCCTACGGTCTGGGCCTAAAATATGTGTACTGTCCAGTTTGGACACTAACGTCTATCAATCGTATCTACTTTGGGGTTGTTGTCTGCATTAATCGGGATGATGTAAGGTTCAGGGTGTAGGCTTGATCGTTGAGGGTCTCGAGCTTCTTGCATCCTAAGTTTATATCCCGCTTCAAGACGAAAAAGGATCTTTGTACTTAGAGTAATGATGGTAATAGTAATAGTAATAGTAATAGTAATTGAAATTGTAATAGCAATTGTAATAGTAATCCCAACCTGGATAAGTCCCTGAAGCCTAAGCTCGTGCCATCACTTTGTCCAGGAATGTGAGACGGACCACGCACAACTGTTGCAGAGGCAATCTCGAAGTAAACTGGATGCACGAGACGTGCCCTACACCTTGCACGACCTTGGCGGGAAATCCGCCCCTGGGGATTCTTATGCAGGTTTTCCTTGCTTTTCGTATGATGAAACCCCATGAGAAGGGAGCATAGGGATCATCATATTGCTAGAGTGGTTTTCAACACATGTTGGGTTATGGCAAACCCAGCCCATGAATGATCTGCAGTTTGGTGCTAGGGTTCTGTGGCCGCAAACAAAAAGGGCCCTTGGGACCCTAGAATGAAGAAAGGGTGTGTTTAGGGTGCACGACCTGAAAGTACAGAGGATTCAGGCAGAGCTTTCCTACGCTTTGCATGCCCGAGACCCTACAATAAGCCTTAATCCCAGGTCAATCCACCCTACATTGCTAGCCCCTATATATGGAGTCAATATAGGGCCTCGATATACCTACAACTGTCCCTCGGGGTATCTAATACTGGGTGGGGGATTGACCCTACCCTATTTCTGAACGGAAGCCCACGCCCTGAAGCATTTCTAAGGTGTATCTTATCATGACAGATCGTTTCTCGCGGCTCGGTGGCGTCAGCCAGAATGACTCGAATCCATGTTCGGGCGACAACTGGTGCCTGGACGCACTACACGTTATGGGTTACTATCTGGTGGGGCTGTCTTCCTCCTTCCCAGCGCTAGTAGGCGCAGGAGTAAGCGCAGGTATAGCACATCAAGGGCTTGTGCAAGTGCAGGTGCAATGGCACTCTGCAAGGCATAACCAGCCAGCTGGAATACATCCGCGACATGGGATTTGAATCTCGGCTCGTACGTCCCCAACCCTACATCCTAGACCCTAAACCTGAACCCAGCGTTAAATTCTAAATCCTAAGCTGTGTGGTTCATCTTGCGTGGCTCACCAGCTGAACCGAATCGTCGCTTGTATAGCGGACTTCTAAATGAGCTACATATATTAAACTCCTTAAAGGGTGCTATTTACGGATTATATAGGGGAGTACTATTGTCTACTATAGTGGTTTTTGATTACGGGGGTTACTAGGAGTTTAAACTGTAGCTCGCATGGGGCCTGTGTGGGCCGCCCCTTTTGACAAACCCCAAACCCTGAAACCATAGAGCTCCTAAAAGTCCCTCTTCTAGTATCCCAACTATGTAGTCCAGGGCACATATCACCTACTTATTACTGTAGTTCCAGGTCAGTTAAACATCCAACAAGGATAGTTGTCGGTTAACTGGGTCAGAACTGCAGCTACTACCCTGGACCTCCAAGAAAGGGTGCCCCCCTACAACCTAAGCCTTAAAACCAAAACCCTAATGCAAACCCACCGATCTGCGACAAAGGACTGCATTTGGGTCACCCCTGTAGTCTTGAACTTCTATGGTCCGGATGGGCAGCTCACCTGTGTTATAAATTTACTGGTCGTTCGTAGAGAATGAAGGAATGGAAAAGAAAGTGGAAGCTACATGAAACTACTGCATTAGGGGCTACTGATCAGTTCCTTCATTCCCTACTGACAGTGGTAAGATGAAGTGATGGTCCATGAAATCATGAGCGGTTAAGGTTTAGGATTTAGGTCTGAGCCTCTGGGTAGGGATGTTTAGGGTTTAGAATTTGAGGTTTGCGCTTAAGGGAGGAGGGGTTAAGTTTACGGCCCGGGTCCCTGTTATGTGTGCAACCCCAAATGGCAGTCTGTTTGCAGTATGAGGTTTCTTCTGCTGACGTTCCTATTCTCATTCGAGATGTCCGTTTTGAGAGTGATTACTCTTGATGGTTTCTCTGCGGAGTTGCGCGTGGCTACCGTTGACGATGGCAACTCTGATGGTGTCGATTGTCATGGAGCTGACGATGAGAACAATAGTTTTGATGAAGATGTGGCTCGCTGACGGCCATCATCGTGATGGCGATGTCAACTGCAATCATGCTGATAAGGATGATGATGATGATGATGATGATGATGATGGTCATGATCATGATCATGATGGCCATGATGATGGTGGTGGTGATGATGTGATGCTGATGCTGATGATGATGGTGGTGGTGGTGATGATGTGATGATGATGATGGTGATGATGATGATGATGATGATGATTGCGCTTGCCACCGTAGGTACTCCTTGCTACTGCCGCTCATTCAGCTTCCTTCAAAACAGCGGAAGCACTCGGGCTCTCTGCTGCTCCCTGCTTTTTATTTCCACAAGCTAAATACTCAAGGTGTGCATTCCTGGAATGTCAGCTTGTTATGACCTTTCTTGCTTTTTGCTCAAGAGAAGCACCCAGCACGTTGCCATCTTTCTCCCCCCGTTTCGCTGAGGCCAAGCGGCTATGGCTACCATGGCTATTGGGCGCAGGACTACTACCAGATAGATCCAAACTTTGGCACGAAGGAGGATCTCAAGGACAGCGGGACATGGGCAGAGTGAGGGTATACGCGGGATCCCGCGTGAATATTGGTGACGGTATATATGCGGGGTCCATGTGAGGAGGCATACATGTAAATCCTACGTTTTGTTTCATCGACCCTATGCACAAACGATATTGAGGGCATGGGGGGATTGGCGACAAGAATCACTGCAGCAATAGTAGCAAGAGTGCTGACGAGAATGGTCATAAAAATGGCACGTAACCCAGGAATTGCACCGAGATCAGCTAAAAAATGCATTCGAGAGGCCTGAGAGGCTGAATGGTACACATTTTCGGCCAACTGATTTCACTTGTTCCGCATACCTGCAACCCTCTTGTCATCCTTTGGTTAGTAAGACGTAAGGGAATATCACTCCGACATAATTCCTGTATAATGTATTCCCTTAGTCCCTACTTACCACCAGACAGTTAAGTAGACCGCATGCAGAACAATACATCAGGTCTTTCCCTGACGTTTGGAAGCTATCTTCTTTTGACCATAGCGCTACTCCCCAAATCAGGGGTTGGTTTGAAGCATTTTTCTAGGTCTGGTGCCCCAAATCCCTACATACTCCTTACAAAGCCAGAGCTTGTATTTTTAAGGCCCCCAAATCAACCTTGGAAATGGAGCTGTATGATTTAAATACTAGTCCTGCTGGTTGTTCGTCGGGATTTGAATGAAGGGCTGCAAAGGAAAGTGGAAACTACAAGTCAGATCCAGGGCCTATAAAATGGGAAATATATTGGGGTTATGTAGGGGTTATATTGGGGTTATAATATGGGTTATATTGAGGTTATAATGTTATATTGAGGTTATCATAGGGCTTATATTGAGGTTATAATAGGGGTTATATTGGGGCAATATAGGGATAATGGAAAAGAACATGGAAACTACAATAAATATCATAGGTCCTCCAGGAATGGAGGAGAAATTGTTAGCGAATACTTAGGATCTTGGGTCTAGGAATGGCAAAGAAAAATGGAAATCATTTTATTACTGGGAATGACGTAGAGACTACTACAAGGATCCATTCCTTCGTTCATTGCCAACCAGGGTAAGTAGTCTGAGGCAATGTCTGGTGCTGAGATTTTTGGAGGGGCCGGGGTGTTTTTTTGTCATGCGTGTGTCCGTTATGTCTCTGATTGCATTGCACGCGGCCCTTGGGATTCCTATGCGCGAGCGCCTTCCTGAAGCCTTCTTAGAGAGATCCTGAACATACTATTGGAGATAGCAATATTCCTCAGTTTCCTGGAACCTCCCCAATATAAGTTCCGCACTTCGCTGACTGTCTTTCATCCAGTGTGATGTCTGGAAAGAAGTCCACCAGAGACGGGCAGCTTCCGTGTGGAGAACAGTTGCTGTGGTACTCCCATAATCTGATCAGGGGGCTTTGTGTACTTGATCTTCGATTAGTCCTCTCAGATCTAGGGATTTAGGGGTGTCTGGTCCTGGATCATCTCCCTGAGCCCTAAACCCTTAACCCCAAGCCCTAGACCCTAAGCCCTAAACCAGAAGCCCGAAGCCCTAAGCCCTCAACCCTGAGCCCCAAGCTAAATCCTAAGCCCTAAACCCCAAACCCTAAACCCTAAGCCCTGAACCTTAGTGACTTCATCGGCTTCTTTTCTTGTTTCTGGGTATTGAGGGGTAGAAGCTATATGTGTATGTATATATATATATATAATCTTGGAAGCTATATATAAATCTTGGAAGCTAAAAACAAAATAGTATGTAGCGGGAAGCGGCTTGAAACGGTTCCGGACTATTTATTAAACAGCTTCTGGGCGGCGCGGACAATTTTATAAACCGCTTCTGGGATTTTATAAATCCCTTCTGGCCTCCAATTGCTGACAACCTAAACCCTAGACCTAAGAAACCTTAGGAGCTCGTGGAGCAGACTCACAACCTGGGCATCTCGAAGATTCTAAGGACTTAGGGTATGGTTTAGGGTTTAGAGTGTTTACTTAAGGATTCAGGGCTTGGAGTTTAGGGCTTAGGATTTAGAAATATAATGTCTTTTCTTGGCTCTTTGGAGGGGTCTGGGGTCATTGTTTACCTAGTTTTAAGCTAGCCCGCTATCAGGCTCAGAGCTTCATCAAGGCCTAGGCCGAAGGCATCTAATCCTTTGATAAGTGTATAGTCTCCCTTATGTAGATAGAATATAGGGGTATATGGGGATCTTGTTATAATGTACCCAAAGCGATATTCTATCTACTTAAGAGGAACTATAGTCTAAGGCATCCCCCAAGCGCTGGTCCAATCATTTTCGCTTTTTCATAGTGGACATATTCTTACATCACCTTGACATCAAGAATCGGAGTTGAGGGACCCCTGTGGAAATGTAGGTCTTTGGGTGCCAGCTGTTTAAGATTCTACATCATGCCCGGCTTTTTGATTTCATGACTTGGGACTCGAGGTCTTAGGCTCTAGGGTTACCAGTCCAGGTATGTGCTTCATTCTTGACATCGTCTTGAACCACTGCAGACCCGTGCACAGCGAGCAAGACTTGAGTGAAGTCAATCCGTTCAACAAAACGGAGAATCTTGGAGAGCTGTTAAGAACTATTTCTAGGTACCCCCAAAATTCCCTTTTTGCCTGTTTGCTTTGGCGTCTCCTTATCAAAGCTGAACATTAGGAAAAAGGGTACCTGCCCCTATTACTAGGAGGTTGCTGGGGAAACAAGATTTTGCAGTTCAACTAAGCTGTAAAGACCATACCGAAGGCGTCTTAAAGCAATATTGAAAGGCTGGCGTTTCGCTTGCCCAGACCTATAGGGCAGTTCTTTCTGCAAATAATCCCCATGCCCCCCAAACCCTACAACCCTAAACCCTAAACCCTATGCCAGCTTTGAGAGGGTGCCCTGTCACCCTCCCCCTTTCAATCCCTTTTTGCCTAAACCCAAGGTATGTCCATCAGCTCAATATCAGCAACCTGACCTTCGATGAATACACTGAAAAGTTTTCCGGGTGGCCTCCGCCAACCCAGGCATTGTGTCATGTGGTAGCTGCTGGAGTTGGTACTAAGAGAACTCGTGCTGGCGCTGGTGCTGGTGCTGGTGCTGGTGCTGGTGCTGGTGCTGGTGCTGCTGCTGCTGCTGCTGCTGCTGCTGCTGGTGCTGCTGCTGCTGCTACTACTGCTGCTGCTGGTGCTGCTGGTGCTGCTGCTGGTGCTGCTGCTGCTGCTGCTGCTGCTGGCGCTGGCGCTGGCGCTGGCGCTGGTGCTGGTGCTGCTGGCGCTGGTGCTGGTGCTGGTGCTGCTGGTGCTGCTGGTGCTGGTACTGCTGGTGCTGCTGGTGCTGCTGGTACAGGTGCTGGTGCTGGCAGCGGCGGTGGCGGTGGCGGCGGTGGCGGTGATGGTGGCGGTGGCAGTGGCGGTGGCAGTGGCAGGGGCAATGGTGGTGGCGGCGGCGATGGCGGTGGTGGTGGCGGCAGAGCTCTACCAGCTGAGGCTTCCCACCATCGAAAACCACTCCGCAATGTATGAGGGTTTAGGGTTCAGGGATTAGAGTTCAGGGTCTTCTACACCTCCGCCTAACCAGGAAACCTGAAATCTACAGCATTGGCACCGTACGCAGTCAAGCCCTTAACCCAGACACTTTAGATTATACTCCCCCTAAAGCAAAGGAAGCTCAAAAGGGATCCACAACAAAATAGTCCATTTGCAGGCTAGAGGGCTTTCATAGGTATTTGGGGGATTCTAAATCCTAGGCCCCGCAGCCCGAAGCTGAACTCCCGCACCCTAGGCCGAAGGCTGATAAACTATGCTCTACCCTAAACTAGGATTCTAGATCCTACAAACCTTAAACAGTTCAAACCCTAAACACGAAACCCAAAACACAAAATCCTAAATCCCAGACTTGAATCCCTACATCTTAAACCTTGAACCCCAAACCCTGAACCCCAAACGCCAGGCTTTGGGTCCAGGAGCCGCATGCACGCTGCAGTTCTTCCCGGATGGCACGCCAGACGGAACGAACAACGGAACCTACTGCAACATGGTGTTGGGTTCAGGGTTTCGGGTGTAGGTAGAGTTTGGGGTTTACGGTCTAGGGTTTGGGGTCCAGGATTTAGAGTGAGGAGTTTGGGGTCGCTGGTTTAGGGTGCAGGTTCAACCTACTGCAACATGGTGTTTCTGCAGCACCAATTGCCTACAGCCTGGTGGTAATTACCCTTAAGCAGAAGCTGGTAACTGAGGTCACAGGTTGGGTTCCCGGCCTTCAGGCTTAGAGTTTAGGGTTCAGAGCTTAGAGTGCAGAGTTTAAGGCTTAGACCCTTTGAATTATGTGTGTTCAGTCTATAACCCATGCTCAACTTGCTATACACGCTTAGTAAGCCTTAAGCCCTATACTTACTATACGAGGGGGCCTGAGGGGGTATTTGGGGGCTCCCGTGCATGGACTCGCCACAGGGTCCAAGAACCCTGCAATTCTAACAGCTTTGCACGAGTAAAGGGGTTCGAAAAATTAGGTCCCTTTGTTGGCAGCCCCTATGATAAGGGTGTAATATTGGGGGCTATGTTAGGGCCTCCCTGCTTATGCTATCCCCCAAAGCCCTCCTCAAAGCTAACAAAGAACCTGAAATTGGCCTTTGGAGACCGCCATCCTTCACAAAAGCATCCCTACATCGCCTGTTACAGGGAGGGTAGAATTCTGTGGATGTGGAGTGCCATTTCTCCACTTCCCAATCAACTCTTCAGTCCTGTCTTATTTATAACTCGGAACCCTGATAGTCAACCCGATGCCACATAACCCCAAATCTTCACGCCCTATCAAACTTAACAACTTCAAATCGATCCCCTCAGTGCTAAACCCTGCACCCCCTAAACCCAAAACCCTAACCCCAGCCGAAAATGCAGGCAACAACTATAAGGATCCTGGCAACATCTACAACGACAACACATATTTGGGGCCCTTGGCCCATGGGCCCAAGGACCGAGCCAATCTGGCGGGGAACGGAGAGTTCATGGATTTCAATATTGGGGGTTTAGGGTTTAGGATATAGGGTTTAGGATTTAGGGCTTGTAAAGTTCAGGACAATTTACGCTTTGAATTTCAAGGATTCTGAATGCTCAGTCCTGAAACGTCTGCTGGTAATGTGATCTACAATTCCGAGAACAGCGGGAAGGCATCATGCCCCAAATGTTTCTAAATGGAAGCTTGAGTAGGCCTTGAAGAAACCTTCCCTGTTCATGGAAATTCAAGTTTAGGGTTTTAGGGTCTAGGGCCCCCGAGGACCTGAAGTACTGCGGCCCGGGGAACTACATCTGCAGCTCAGTCGCAGTTCGTACGCCACAGCGGGCTTCTCCATAAATCCTGAAGCTCTGAACATCTGACATTTACTGTAGGGTTTTGCGGAGAGTTTGCGAAATCATGTGTGTTGGTTTTCTGGCTTTGTTTGGAGAGACTGGCATGGTTGACGGTGGTTCAAGTAAGAACCCCCTACAAATTGACCTCCAAAAGCATGCAATGTCTGCGGCTGCCGCCTAAACAACTGATGATGTGTAAATCATTTACTGGGCTTACACTTAGGCTCTCAAATCCTAAAGCCTCATCCGCCCTCATTAGGCCCAGGAACCGTTTAGATTTATTGCTTCTAGTTTCATTTCGCCCCAAAACCTAACCTAAAAAGCTGCCTTTCTCCTAGGCAAGGGGTACAATGAGACGGTCAACATTCTGGGCTGGTTCTATGACCTTGCAGACTTGAATCTTGCTGGTTCACTTGGGTTTAGGGGTTCAAGGGCTTAGGGTTCAGGGATTATATAGGGGTTTAGGGTTTCGGGGGGGATTAGAGTTTAGAGTTTTTTGCAGGGTTCAGGGTTTAGGGCTTCAGGGTTTAGGGGTTGAGTGCTGGCGGCTTTCGTGAACATCGGGATGTCAGGATTGGGGATTCGTATTGCTTTGGGATGGAACGCGATGAAGACAACCGGGGCACCAGCTTTGCTAGCGCAATGATTTCCATCCGTTGGTTCTGATGAAATCCCTTCTCTCTAATATTGCAACCCCCACCCCCTAACATCAACATCAACCTTGCTAAGTGTGGTATGTGATAGTATGTAATCTTTAGCGGTCGGGGGGTTTTGATATTGTATGGGCGGAGTAGCAATGTCATCAAAAACGATTTTTCCCACATGAGCCTCAGTGAGCTCAGAATTTCTCGGCTAGAGGTCAGATGCCCAGATTGAAATTCTCCGGGGCCGGCTAAGGGTTCAGGGTTGTCTTGTTCCCAACATGGCGTGTGGAGTCGCAGAATTTTACAGTACACAGCGCGTGACTCGGGGCTTCAAGAAATGGAACAGCATATCCTGCATCGCTTGTTCTGATAATAGTGCTGGAGTCCTGACATCAGTGAGTCAAACCTTTACATGTTTAAGCCTGAAATCTTGAAAGATCTAACGCAGAATCACCTGCCGTTGGAATGTTGGGACCGAGCTGCAAGACGTCAAAAGGCTGTAGAAAAAGCATTCCTTGCCGGTGCCCAATAATGTCGGACGTATGTCATATATGGTGCTATGTTCCTTCTACGATTGTATTATACAGTGCCTCAAATAGACCAAATTTCTGAAGATCTGTCTAACCTGACCGTACAAGCCCCGTGATTCTGAAATGCCCATATAGTCAAAGCGCTCAGAAAACCAGAGCTGCACCCGTCCAAATAAGATTTGGCTTTGAACGGTAAGACACATTCCAGCTGGTGTCGCAGCTCGAGTGGATCAACCGTAAGCATGTCTGTCATACTTGCAGTAGAGTTCATCTCCTGGAGCACGACATGATAGCCGGCTAAATGATGGCTGTAGAGAGCACGGATGAAATCCCCTCCTACTAGTACACTCCTACTCCCTAGTAATACTTAGGGATGCCTGTGCAGGCGTCCCTTCAAGAGGAATATATTATACTGGGTTTTTTCCTTTGGACCCCACGTTTAATGGAAGCCCACATTCTAAATTCTAAGCCCAAAGCTTCAAAGAATCAACCTAAACCCTAAGGAATCAATCGGTGCCATTTGTGCGTCAAGGGCTGAAGGATTGGGTGATGTACATGGCCGGGAGCTGAGCCGGGGGGTTACTCCAAATTGGAGTACTTTAGGGGCCTACTTAATTAGCAGTATCATGGTCCTAGAGTTCTTGTATAGAATTGTAGGGTACCTCAAAAAGACCTCAGAATAGTTGTGGTGAAATTATGTAGAGCCCTGTAATGCTATTTGGGGATTAGGGGTTTGGGGTTGGCGACTGTAGAAAAAAACCTTGGATCCTAAGGAGTGTGTAAGGGTCTTGGTTTGGGTATGATGGTCCCCCTTAAGTAGATAGAATATGTATGGGGATCTTAATATGGTTATGGTCAAACCCATATTCTATCTAGTTCAGGGGGGCTATAGGGTTTAGGGTCTAGGTTTGCATGTAATTGAGGAGAGTAGCGGAGTCTTTTTCCGCCTTTGGGCTCTAGCAAGTCCTTGTGAATTGGCATTGGGGCGCATGGCCTTGACATCTCCAAAGTGTTGGGGCCGTGTATCCTAAACCCTAAGCCCGGAATACGCTTAAACCCTAGGTCAATCCCCCCTACAGTCCTACAGGAATAGCTCCTCAATCTGGAGTTAATAGGGCCTTAATATACCACAATAGTCCCTGGTGGTCCCCATTACTGGGTCTTGGATTGACCCAATGAGGACCCATAGAATCCAACAAGCTTCAAAAATCCCAAACTGAACTCTCATAGAAGAACACAGCTTGAAACCGCGGAGCAGCTACCACGGCAGCTTTAAATGTCGCTTTACCCGACGGATCTAAGTAGCCCCAAAGAGCTACTATTCATATATTTTAGGGTCCAAAGTAATTTCCCTAAACCCTAAACCCCAGACTTTAGGGTCCAAATTCAGTGTTACTTATAGACTTGGATCGTCAGGATTAGGGTGCGAGGCTTGGGGCTTTGGGTTATAAGGCCGAGCAAGACCAAGGCTTGCATCTGTGTCCATAACAAGGTCATGTAAGAGCCATAGTCTAAACTCCTTCAAGGGGGTTATGTCGCGGATTATACAGGGTACAGGGTTTATTGCTTGGGGTTTAGGGTTTAGGGACTAAAGTCCTTCAATGGTGTTGTTCATGGGATTATGTAGGACTACGAGTTTAGACTATAGCTCATATGGGGTTTCGGGTTTAGGGTTTTCTGCTCTAGGGTCTAGGGTTTGGGGGCCATGTTAGTAGTAGACCAAGTAGGTGTTGTAAGCAGAGGGAGAGAATGTACTGAACCGCGCGGTACTGCAAGCACTCAGACTATCATAGTGAACGTAGTAGGTACCTATGGTGACTTAACAATCAATGTGAGTCATAGTCTAAATTCCTAGTTTCTCCGTTTATGACCCCTATACGGCCCTATAGTCTGCTTTTGAACCCTCAGTGCATGTGAATTTCGCAGAGGTCACCGAGTATGCAGTGGATGGCATCCGCTTGGACACAACACCGTTCATGACGCACGAGTTCCTCAAGGAAGTGCAGGACAGAGTGAGAACCACAGTGAGAGTTAGCTTAGGTAACCCCAACTGGAGCCGATCCGCATTCCATGGAGGATGCATAGCCGCGTTTTTGGGTTTCATCAGGTTTTCGGGATTCTGTTCTGACAAGCTTCTTTACTTTCAAAAGCCCGCTGCGATTGAGATAGCTGGGATACTAATCACCCAGTAACTGTTGGAAAGAAGTGCGATTTGAACGTATGATTTGTAAAGCGCTCGCCCCCATTACAGACTGTTACTGGGTGGGGACGGTACCCAAGAGGTAGATGACAATTCCATCCTGCATCGTCGCAGCAGGCCCTGGGATGTCATGTGAGACAGATGTGAAGGGGTTTAGGGTTTAGGGTTTAGACAGTGCTTATTGCATCCTCCACATGAAAACCTTGCGTTCTTTGCAAAATTAAGCAGGCATGCTGTTATAGACAGCTACGAAGCGGTATGAGAGACATTCGCAGCGTTTCTAGCTTGATGTGGCATGTGTATTCTTCAAGATAGCGCCCAATGAAATACTCTCGGAAATATTGTTCTTGCTGTGAGAATATTTCCCAAACCACGGACTTCAAGCTTTCACGCCCCCTGTTACTTGCAGGCTGTTGCGTGGGATGTCCCCCAAAAATGGCACAGAGACCCCTTGCAGGTGACCCAAAGATTGACGTCTAGTTTGGGGTGTAGGGTTTCTCTGAAACGGGGCGGGCCGGTAGGGAAGCGTAGAGATAAATGGGGGGCTAGCATGAAGTTATAGGGGTCTTTAGCTGTACCTATACAGGTGTTGTGTCTTGAGCTAAGTTATAGGTGGTGTAATAAGTCATTTACTTGTAGCTAGGGCACTGTCAAAGTTATCCCACATGTAACGCCACTGAATATTGGCCATGAACTTTCAAGCGGCCTCTACCCAGCATGAATCTTCTGTCTTTTTTGGGCCAATACCACGGGAGGACATGCTGCTTGCACTCGACAACCCCATCCACATTCTTGGGGAAGTGACCTCCACAAATCTGACCTTCCATGCCTCGTACCAGGCGTGTGGTGCAAGCTGGTAGTAGTAGCAATAGTAGTAGTAGTAGTAGTAGTAGTAGTAGTAGTAGCATTGGTAGCAGCAGCAGCAGTAGTAGGAGGAGTTGCATTTTGCAGTTTGGCCGTGGCGGCTTCGGAATTGCAAGAAAGCTGACATAGGAGGCCTGAGCCGTGTACCCGCCTACAGGAGGTTTTCCAATTTGGGAGCCAGCCCCATCATAAGGATCGCGGTATGTTGATATAACCCTATTCATTCTTGAGATCACCCAAATATGGCGGGACGGAGCAGTATCGGTAGGATGAGAGCCTGATGTGAACGTTGCGACCGTAGACCCTCAACCTACAACCTTAAACCCCCAATCCAAACATCCCGAGCCCTACGCTCAACATCCCAAACCCTCCGCCCTACATCCTGCGTAAACCCTAAACCCATACCAGCTCCTAAACCCTTAACTCCACATCTCACACTTCAGAACCCCCCAACCCATAAAGACCTTCCACAAAATCCGGTGGTTGGAGGGGAATATGGTATATGGTATATAGGGACTATGTAGGGATTATATCCCCTTATTCCCAACTAACCCTAAACCCTAAACCCCATATATACAGATATGCATGCATGCATGCCTGCAGATATGTAGATGTTCCCAACCCTAAACCCTAAGCCCCCGAAACGCAGGTCAAGGATGGCCACAGCATCCTCGGAGGTTTGGAGAACTTCCCACTGACCTACGGCGCCATGCCTGGCTACTGCGGATGGCCAAGCCAGGGGCTTTGAAAAGTTGTAGGGTTGAGGGTGTAGCCTTTAGGCCTTAGGGTTTAGGGTTTCTGGTTACTTCGGGCTTAGGGGCTTTAGGATTTAGAGGGTGTAGGGGCATTTATCGTTTTATGAAGGGTTTGTAGGGTTTATTGGAGGTTGTAAATTGCGTAAAGAGTTTGAGGGTAGGGGGGGTTGGGGCTGGGCACACTCAGGCATGCATGTCGCGTCTTGGTTTCATCTTACCTTGTCTCAATCAAGACGGAGCTCCTCCCCCTCCCAAAAAATCAACAACAAGTTTTATGTTCAGCTCCGTCCTCTTTACGGGACGTTGCTTATTTATCATTGGCGAGAATTTTGCAGAGCCGCCCGCTCATCCATGAAACAGAGATGTTGGTGGTTGCTTATTCTGGTGAACTATATTGACGATAATGGTTATTCATGCCATCAGTGCTTCTTGAAAGACCCTGCTGCCAATTCAAGCTATAAGTAGGTTGAGTTGCGATCCTTGCCACACCCGAAGCCCTACACCCTAAACCCTTCTCCCTTTTCAATCTGAAATTCTCTGGCCAGATGGCATCCAGTCTCCCGTGGCACAGTCCAATCTGAACTATTTGGCCGAAGCAATGCTGCTGCAGCAGAAGCAGCTTGGGTGCGCATGGGTCTTTGGCTCGATCATCTTAGCCCCTAATCAAGGGTTCTAGGGTTGTACCCCTAAGGTCACACCCCTAAAACGTTTCCTCAATATGACCTTAATCTAGCCCTTAAGAGGATCCCGAAAACTTAGGGGTACACCGGTAGGGGTACAAGCTGAAACCTTTGACCTAAACCCTGAACTCATGAACGCCCGATCTGGCGCCTACGGCTTCGAACTTAGGATGTGGAGTCTGTAAGTTGGGGTTTCAGGATGTACGCATACATTCGGATTTGCTTGGCTTTTGATTAGGGATGTCTATACGCGGATGAGGCAGGACGGTATTCAAGTTCTCTGGCTACAGCTCCTACGGGGTTTGCCATTTTAATTGGAGCCTGGGGAATTCAACAACTGAGTACTGGGTTATTGCTTCATAGACGTTATGCGTTCCTCGATGAATTACCCACAAGGTTTTGGGCAAGTTACTTGATGGTTTGCTTCAGCTCCCTAAATCCCATGGCTCGTAGAGAGTCCAGAAGAAGTTTCACTTTCTTTTCAGCTTTATAAGCTGATGAGGTATCTCCACACACGATGCTCAACCATGACGCAACAGACACCTAAAACTTCAGTGCCCTAAACCCTCTAAGCCCTAAACGACTGGTGCTTCCGTGGGAGTAGGCAGGAGCCTGTAGGGTTTTGGGCTCCTTGAGATTTTCAGGGGGTTATTGTAGGGGTCCGCGCCAACACTCCCCGTGAGTACTAGTATTCAATGCCGAACTGCCTCCTGCAATTGCACCAACAGCTAGATTCACATACCACGAACCTTCCAATCCCTAATTACATTCACCTTGTTGCATTCTCCCGCCTGAGACTAGTATACCATGGGCTATAAACCTTCCAATCTTTAATTGCCTTCCTCCTAACATGAAACCCAATAGGCCACTTGTACCAGGACTTAAGACTCTATTACACCTTGCCCCAGGAGTGGACTCTATAGTGACCTCAACCTGCTCATGAACATGATGGACAACCAGGATGAGACTCCAATCTGGGGCCAATACCACGTTCCGGGGAGCGGGATCCCTGACAAAGCATTCCTCACTATGGGTTTTAGGCTTTAGTGGGTTTTTGGGCGTCTTAGTATTTTGTGGAATCAGGGTTGTCGGGCTTATGGGTGTTGGGCTTTAGGGCTTGCAGGGTTTGGTGTAAAGATTTGCCCTTTGGAGCTGGAAAGTCGCTGCACAACTTCCTCATGGAAGGCTATGCTTCAAAATCTTGCAAGGTTCCATCGCATCCGCAATAACCAGGGCAACCCCAATATAAACCCCTAAAGTATCACCATCTTTATGATGGGGACCCCCAAAATGTACCCCTGATTTTGGGAAATCCCATATTCCCTCAAAGGTAAGCAGCAAACCAAGTCATGAATCCAATGGCCTCCGTTTGGAGGCTTGCACTTCTTTGTGCATCTACAACTAGATTCCTTTCCCCCCCCCCAAAAAAATGTAAAGACAAAGACCTTCCTTCAAAATCCACTCTGAACCCTAAACCCTAATCCTAGACCCTGAAGCCCAAACCCTAAACCCGAAATCCTAAGCCTTAAATCCTGTGTTGATTAGCAGCCCCAACGGATCTGCGATGTATCAGTCCTGGCTTCAGGGGAGAGTAGATGACACTGATGTGAAACCTCTGTATGGCGCCCCTAACTCAGACCCGTGATAAATAAACTCCCAGGGGGGGGTGTACTAATCATGGGTCTACATTAGTGCTGGAATCTTTCATGGCTGATGGTGGGCTGAATGTCTCAGAAGGGAGGTTTGTGTTTGGGGGAAGCTCCGGCCCTTGACCCTGTGCAGGTGTAAAAGGAGCCCTTTAAAACCCCTAAATCTTAAACCCACCATCCTAAACCCTAAACCCCCTAAACATCTGAGGCCATTCGCGAAAGGCACTGGGGGATGCTTGGACTACCCAACTCTGGTTATGAATGCATGGGCCTGGCTGATGTTTGCGAAGGCCTTGTTTTGAGGGTTCAGAGTTTAAGGGTTGAGGGATGAGGGCTTGGGGTTTGGGGTCTGGGGTTTAGGTGCAGCAGAGCCCCAACTAACTTCAAATAATGTATATGCAGGCCCTCTTTGAGGTATGTGGGTTCTATGGAGGCTACTTGGTTTGGCTTGAAGGTCTAGGGTTTAGGGTTTTGCTGTTCAGGGATCATGGTTCAAGGTTTGGAATTCGAGGTGTTGAGTTGGAGACCATCCGGAAAATTGGTTAGGGTCAGGGTACTACCAGCCGCCGCAGGGCCCTGAACCCACAACCCTGAATCCTAAACCCCTAAACCCTGAACCCCTAAGCCCTAAACCCCTAAACTGTAAGGGCTCAGGTCCAGGGTTTGGATCCTCTAAGCCCTAAACCTGAACTCCTGAGCAGATAGGCCGGACTGGTTGCTACAAGTCATCGCATGTTATCCCGAGCATGCCTTATCCCTAAACCCCATACCCTAGGCGTTCCTTATCCCCAGCCTGTGAAGGTAACGTACGGTACCTGCAGCTCTTGAAGCTCCCAACCACAACCGTCAGCTTTAGAGATACAACCTCCAACCTACATAGCTAAACAAAAACATATAATGCAAGGTGAGGGCTTCGTATCCTACACTTATTTACCTTCCCTAAGGGTCCAGGTACCCAATAACTGGGTAGTAGGGATTTGGGTGCTAGCCTAGATGACAGTAAGGCTTTGGGGGAAGCATCTCGGACCCCTGAGGCTTCTTCCGTACACTCCAAGGCCAAAAGCTTAGATCCTTCACTGGCCCCAAACCTTGGAAACCAAAACTCTCGATCGCGAGCCCATACCTTGAACCTAAACCCTTTCGCTCCCTGAATCAATAGACCGCGAAAATGCATACGGCAGGGACCCGTTCAACAGACTGCAGCCTGTGTAGAGCCCTTTCGGGGTTTCCATCTTAGTATGGGGGAGAGTCTCCCTTCACTTGAGCCCTAATTGCGCAGCCCCTCGGAAACCCTCCACTGCTAAACCTCAAACTCTTCAACCCTGAGCCCAGAATTCCAAGCACCCAAGCCTTAAAACCCATCCCCCCCCCCCGCAGCAGCCCCCTGTCATGGACCACATCCGCCCCCCCCGCCTGAATTCTGCCGCAGAGGGCATGCCGGTGGTAACCTGGGGCGATGAGCAGGGGAATGCCGAGTACAGGAATCCTGGGTCCAAGAAGACAAATGAGGGTTTACTTACTGGGGGTTAGACAGAGGCGAGGAGTTGGGATCTTGCGACGGAGGTTCCCATTCTGGTGGGTTTGTACAGGGAGCTATCCTATGCTCAGGCTCTTCATTTCTGCAAGCTGTGACAGACAGCATTTTGTTGTTGTTTCCCAGAAATCCTTGCAAGACTCCTTTTCTAGTTGTGCATCTAAAGGTGGGTTTCTCTGATTAAAGGAAACGGGAAGCAGCGAAATTTCGCCCAGGCGGAAAATGCGCTGGAATAGAGGAAACTTTTCTCGGCAAACGAAGCAAAAAAATCCAGCGTTTTAACGCAAAGTAGTCTTGGGGGCAGGAGGAAAGTAATCTTGGGGGGAAGCTCCCCCATACAACTTCTCGAGTGTGTATTGAGGACCCTGCAATATTCTTTTCTGCCGCTTGTTTGTTCAGTAATCAGAACCCTCTTTGCATCAGATGTATATATTCCTATTCCTGCCGTTTAAGCCGCAAGGTTTCTCTGACAGTCTCATACTACACGATGTCAGAACACGGTCTGTCTACACGAGCTGCTTTAGGCGATGCTACATGACACCGCCAACGGAATTGTAAACCTTTCCTGGGCTTTTGCAGCAGAGCCACCAATATTCTGAGGTATGGAACAAGAGAGATCCAACTTGCCCTAACCCCAAACAATGTTACAGCCGAACCCCGTCTGAATGTCATTCTGGCAGTACAGACCTCAACCTCTCAGCAGCGTTTGTTGTTTGGCGAAGGAATTCGTTGTGGCAGTTCGGCTGGAACAGGACATCTTGGCAATATCAACTTTTGAACCTTAGCTTTGGAAAGCTGGGTTTTGAGTCTACAGCATGGCGACTTCGCCACTGAGGGTTAACATGTGGAACATCTGTGCTAGCTTTTTAAGATTAGTTACAGGAGGTTTTTTGGGGATTTACGGTCTATAGGATTCGGGTATTGGGGCAAAACTACCCTTATCAGCCCCCGTTGTCGCTGACTGATCCATCTCGAAGTTCTGCAGTCGAAGGCCACGCCCTAGGTCCAAGGGCCTGAAGGTCTCTGTGGGATGTGACATAGATGGTCCTCAATTTCTGGAACTTTTGACCCCAGAAAATCAAACCAGAGGCACTGATTTTCAAGTGAGAAAGCACGCTAGTGTCAGCATACGGCCTTGATATATGTGTGTATAAACATATATAGTTATACATACACATCTGTATATATATATATATATGCATATACTATATGTGTTCTGCAATAGTTCCTACATCATCAATGTATGCTGCTCAAGTAAGGAAGAAGATGAACGCCATCCGGCGGGCTCTGAATTTGGCAAAAGCAAGCCAAGATATCCTCCGCTACAGCAAGTCTGTGTCGCTGAGCTTGAAAGTTCTGGTGTAGGGGAAACCTTTGAACCCAGTTTGGGGAGAAAGTCTAAGTTTGGACGAGTCGGACCCCCGGCTTAAGGTTTCATGTTTGAGGTAGCGGTAGGGAGCCGAAGCCATAAGGGTCTGGGGGTGGTACTTCCCTCCACCCCAAGATTCCGTGTAAGCCCACATGCTTGAAACATTATAGCTGGAAGTTGATATGACCAAGCACTTATGCTGCTGGACTACTACTTGCTGCTACAACTGACCTTCCGCCTGAAGTTCTGTCATGGAGAACGGAACATACATACGACAGCCACTTGTGGCTCTCTGGACAGTGGGAGAGGAGGAGCTGCATTTCTTCAGCCGGATGTTTGAATGCAGTTGCTGCTAGTTTTCTGAAAATTGTGGGAATGAGGTTTACTTGCTGTCCTGTCTAAACCCTGAACTCCCGAAGCGCCAGCAACAGATGGATAGCATCTGGCCGGACATAGGTGACAAGGGTATCAGTGTGAAAAATCGAGGAGTCAATATCAATTAGACTCCTTAGAATGGGTAGTTAGACAGGGTCATGAACGGACAGGGTTCTTTTTCATCCAGGCTTCAGACGTTTCAAAAGGAAAGCGCTACTCTGTTTATAAGCTATGATGGAATCCTAAATTCCTAGACTAGCTTTGATATCTAGACATTGAACTCGGGGCCCTAATCCATGGACCTGAAAGTCCTGCACGATCCCCCTAAGCCCAGAAGCAGGGGTCTACAAAGAATAAATTTACATTCCAAATTCCAGCCCCCATGTATAGTCTTGCACTTGAATAGGGCACTAACAGGGCCAAACCTTACACCTTAAACCGTAAACTTCTAAGCATGTAAACCTCTAAGCCCCTACTCTGGGCCCCTAAGCCATGGACCCCTAAACCCTGTTTCCTGTATTTTACCATTGGTAGCTGGGAATGAAGGAATGCATCCTTATTGTAGTCCTTATATAACCCATTAGAGTGGTTTCCATTTTTTGTCCATTCCTTCACTCCCAGCTAACCAAAAGCCAGTATTTCCAAGATCATGTTCAGGCTAGTGTTCTCGAGAGGCTGCGACACTCGCCGGGTGACATGGTGTAGTTTGGGGTAATGGAGGTTGTATATTATACATATAATCGCCGGAAAGAAGCTGGAAACTACTTTAGGGTTTAGGGTTAAGGTGTCAGGATGTGTGGTTGGGGTTTGGAACTCGGGCTTTGGGTTTGGGTCTAGAGTTGTTGGGCCTGGACGCATTTTGTTGATGTTTCTGGCAACCGTTGGTGTTCAGGAGACATCGGATGAGTTGAACGGGGCTTTCGTTGAGATCGCACTGGGCAGGGCAATCTTTAAAGTCTTCATTCTCAGAGACACTAGTTCCAGGAGCTGCACAGACTGCAGAGCGCTAACAGGCATTTGACAACATTCCTATAGACACTCTTGACAATGTACCTCTACACACATATTCCCCCAACTGGTCATCCTTGATGGAGACCTGATTCCCACGGCGGACAAAGTTCGAGACCCTGCCATGATCCAGGTCATAGTTCTGACCAACAACGTCGTACAGCCAGCAGGGAAGAGGATGGACTACTGGATCAAGCTCCCAAGACCTCCAAAAGGCTTCGGGTTTAGGGTTCAAAGTTTAGGAGTCAGGGTTGAGGGTGCCCTGGTGGGACATGGGCTATATGGGGTTCATGCTGACTTCCAAGTCTCGATGTCTTTCCGAGATGGAGGGCGGTTCCACTTACAGACCATCGTAGTTTTCCAAGTGAAGCTAGCTAAAGCGTACATAATCCTGAAACCAAAGCCCCTGAACATTAAAACCCATAAGTCCTTATATGTTACATGCTATTGATCAAATATTCCTTGCAAGTTGTCGGTTCAAACTGGGGTTGCTGTTTCGCCTGCCAACCAATTGCCCAAACCCCGGGTCTTCAGTCTCAAGTTCGAGTCCAACATGAGCTACAGTCTAAACTCCTTAACGGGGTTATCTAGGGGATTATGTAAAGGAGGATCATAGGCGTTATGAAGGGGGATATTAGGACTAGGAGTTTGGACTATATATGGGTCACATGTAATGGTGATTATCACTACTAAGCCCGGGCTTGAGAGGCAGGTAGAACAGGGGGGCCATTATTCTACATACTTGTTTGGGCTGCTGTTAAGTAACTTAGCTTGAGTTACAGGGTTTAGGGTTTAGGGGTTTGGGGTTAGGGTCTTAAGCTACGATAGCCTGAGAACCATATCAATCTGGCAATTGAAAATCCTTGACAGCAACCTAGAACTTCAGCGCTGCTATACGTCTGGCCCCCCAAACCATGGCCCCTGAGACACTTCGCTGCGTCTCTGCTTATTTGGACCTCCCCATATGAGCTATAGTCCAAACTCCTTAAGGGTCGTTATATTGGGGATTATACAGGGGATTGCTATAGGGGTTATTAAGGGGGATATTAGGGGGCTAGACTATAGCTCATATGGGGGTTGTTCTAAAGGTCCTTCTAAAGAAGAGACCATGGGGAATACACTTCATCAAAAGGAAATCTTAGCCAAACAGGGAACCTACGTTATAGCTAGTTTGCGGACAGGTATTTTGAACAACTACCATATCCACATGTTTTGCCATCACTGTTATGTGGAAATCCAGAAAGGGACCTGCAATCTCGGGAAGTTGTGTATCTTTCTCTGCAGCCGCCATTTCATCTGGATGGGTGGGCTTGAGATCTTCTAGGAATTGAGTTTCTAGTGATTCTAGTGCCCTCAGCACATTGTTGCGGCACTTGCTGTAGCATTTTCATCTATGAAGTTAAGCTAAGGGAGGCTTAGCTATGAACGGGTCCTGTTACTTTCCGCTCCAAGCAGCAAGATCTTCAGGAAAAGCCCCCTCGAGAGAGAGCCGTGGGTTTGAGAAGCCTTTACAGGACCTTTGACCCTCCCAGAGGCTGTAAACTGGGTTGCTGTTAAGGAACTCAAATTAAGTTACTATATGGGGAAACCCTATTATTTGCTATATATACTCATTATAATAACTTAATTTAAGTTCCTTATCAGCAACCCAGTAAACCCTGAA